AGAATTTTTTTATCTGAGTGTTTAATTTTAGTTTCAGTTTTTTCATCAAGAAATAATAATATGTTCACCGAATCCTTAAAACAGTGATCATACTCAGACTTTTTTATTTTTTTTCTGCGTTGTGGTAATACTTTTTTGTTGATTTCATACTACAGAACTGTAGTTTAAGTTACTATATAGCAACAAAAAAAATATTACCTTAAATATTAAGAACTTGGTGATAAAATATATAAAACCTACGAATTTTATCTCATTACCGCAGCAATAGCTGTTAAGTTAAGAAAAATATGGTTTACAAAAAATCTGGTTTTAAAAGGTATTTAAAATATTTCAGGATGTTCGGTTTCTTCTGAGATTAATATGTATAGTTTTGTAAATGTACTTACGAAAATATACACAAAATTAATTAGGAATTCAAAAAATATAACAAATTAAGGATTATATAGACAAATCGAAGCACAAAAACTCAGGAAACTCTAAATAGCTAAATAAATGCAACAAGTACAAATAAGTAACACTACGCTACTGAATTCAACTTGTATGAGCGGTGATGAGCGGCAGGCGGCTTCGATCACGTTTAAATCTGTCTGACCACGCCTACAAACTCAAATTGGTTTCTGCACATTATGACGAAGTGTGCTCTTCACAAAAAAATCGAGCTCTACCCTTCAAACGAAGGCCACGGTTCAATCGTTATGATGATAGAGATTTCACGTGACACGCTTGTGTTTCATTTGACCTTGACGCCCTCACCGTTTGGTCTGCAGAGAGATTAGGTTTTTTCTAGCAATAAGGTAAAATATATCACAAAATACATTGTAAAAATTTATCTTCGCAGCATTGGCATTAACAATTTAATTTACAAGATTTGTCAAATCTACCTTAGCTGTCATCGTTGCCTTAATCAAGAGAAAAGCCAGATTTGACAATCTGTCTTGATTTAATATCGAGAGAAAATAGTTTTTAAGTTTCAATTTGCCAAGCAATTATTTGTGGCTTTCTACTGTACTGGTGAGGTGAAGAATAGTACAAATGTCACCATATATATTTGAGATGTCTCTATAATAATTAGAGAAAAATATTCTCTAATACTCATTAAATTTCTTGTTGAAGATGAGGTCTAGTTAGAGTAACTAAGTGAATATATTGTAGGATCAACGTATTCTATACAGCCTTCCCACATTTTTTACGAATGTTTTTTTCTGAGTATAGATTTTAGTTCCAGAAAGTCAAAATATTATTCGACGATTTTCATACCTTGCAATGCCGGTACAACTAATTTCGCTTTTACTTTGTGGTAGATATTAACCTGGAATCTAATTTCACTGGTTTCAAATCTATAGTCCCTAGTTAGTTCATAAAAAAATATTGTTTTGTAAACCTCTTTTCGGCAATTTCTGTTTTTGTGTTCTACCTTTTAGCCACTTCTGTTTCTTCTTTGATTTAGTTAAAGGATTGTCCTAATTTAATTTAATCTTCAACCACTTTCAGTACTTTCATGTAAATTTTGTAAATTTTGCGGAAAATAATAAATAAAATAAAATAAAAAGGTAGTAGGTATAATAGGTAAAATTTCAAAGAACACATCAGCATCTGCGGGACCTCAGACGTTTTATAAGTTAATTTGCCATAGCTACGCCACTGTCGTTAAACAATATAATATGAACAAATTATTATATATTTGGGAAGTAGCAAAACAATAATTACGAGATATGCCACTATACAATTGAATACTTATTTCGGTAAAGGCTTTATCGGAAAAACGATTTTTACTAGGATCTTATAGATTATAAAATATATCTCGCCTTAATATGAGAGATAGAAGAAGCTCGGTTAAATGGGAAATATTTTAGATAATTCGATTGGATAGGATACATTTTCAAAATTATTTAAAGATACCAAGTTTCAAAATTATTTCAAAAAAAATTAATACTAGCTGATTTTGTTTTATTTTAATGGTTCTTATTTTTATTTATTTTGGTTAAATGGCTTTTATTTTGACATATTTCAAAGTTTCAATTCTTAAGACACTTTTTAACGGATTATATTTTTGTAGAAAAATTTTTCCAAATTGTCTTTTGTTTTCTACCGTAACTTTACTATTTCTAATGTCAACTCTTTGGATTTTTATATAAAAATAAATTTAAATAAATAAAAATAAATAAAATAAATAAAAATAAATAAAAATAAATAAAAATAAATAAAAATAAATAAAAATAAATAAAAATAAATAAAAATAAATAAAAATAAATAAAAATAAATAAAAATAAATAAAAATAAATAAAAATAAATAAAAATAAATAAAAATAAATAAAAATAAATAAAAATAAATAAAAATAAATAAAAATAAATAAAAATAAATAAAAATAAATAAAAATAAATAAAAATAAATAAAAATAAATAAAAATAAATAAAAATAAATAAAAATAAATAAAAATAAATAAAAATAAATAAAAATAAATAAAAATAAATAAAAATAAATAAAAATAAATAAAAATAAATAAAAATAAATAAAAATAAATAAAAATAAATAAAAATAAATAAAAATAAATAAAAATAAATAAAAATAAATAAAAATAAATAAAAATAAATAAAAATAAATAAAAATAAATAAAAATAAATAAAAATAAATAAAAATAAATAAAAATAAATAAAAATAAATAAAAATAAATAAAAATAAATAAAAATAAATAAAAATAAATAAAAATAAATAAAAATAAATAAAAATAAATAAAAATAAATAGAAATAAATAAAAATAAATAAATAAATTAAAATAAATAAAAACACACACAGAGACATCATCGCGAAAATAGTCAAAACGGAATAAGGGTACTTCAAATCATAAAAATTCGTCGAAAACTCGAAGTCGAAATACTTCCGATACTTTCCTTATCAGAAAAGTAAAAAAGTGGTTTTGTTTTTATAAAAGTAAATAATGTTTTTTAATTATATCTTATTTGAGATTGAATTCTTATGTTAAAAATGGCTATTATAACTAACTAGTTTTAGAAAGTTTTAAAAAGTCTACATTATTATAAATTCTTCGTAAATCCGTCGATAGGGAAATAAGATAATAACATTTGACGAAACTCTGGATTTTCTTAAGAGTGCAATTATTAAAATTTTCTTTAAATAAAATTAGTAACCCCGGAAAAAAATTGTTGTTTTGTTACTTTTCAAAATTATTTGCGTTTAAAATCATAAACTTTAAGTTAGTATTACTCTTGGTACTCTTCATATAACAATTATTTAAGCATGTTTCTTTTAAGGATTGGTATTACTTGTATGTATTTTTTAATAAGTTGGTATAATAATTTAGTTGATTAGATGAATTTTATTTTCTTCAAAATAATCGATACTGACAATTTCTATTAATTTTACAAATTTTTATATTCGTTTGTTCTTGTCTTGAAAAAGTGAAATACCATTTATTTTTAGTAGTTATTGACGAACCACTATTGTTGCAGCTTGGACATTTAACAAAAAATACAATTTTTTTTAAAAAATTATAATTAAAAAGGTTGCTGGTTAAAATTAACCAATCTACTTATTTTTGGGACACCTCATATACTGGACTGATTTTTCTTACGAAAGTTCCCAAATTCTACGCATGATCTAAAATTCAGTTTTAGTTAAAGTTTAAAAGTTTCTTGGATTAAAACAAAGCCGAGCCTAGTCTACGAGGAGGCTACGGAGGCTACTCTTGAAAGGCACACCCTATATATCTAATACAAATATAAGTTTCTATTAGAATACAAAAAGCCAGAAATATTACATTGTATTCTAATAGAAATGTATAAAGTATATAGGGTGTGCCAGCCTCCTCGTAGACTAGGCCACGAGCCGCCTCTGTTAACAGATTTCGTTGCGAATATTTACTAAGCGACGGTCGATCAGGATGACAACAAAATAAATCTCAGTGGAACAATTACTAGTAGTACAAAATGAACCTAAAATATTCCCAAGCAACGGTAATCACAACAGCTGTTTTTTTTATTCGCTTTAATACAAGGTACGGCAGCAGAAGAGCGATCAAAAATTAGCGGCAGCAAAGAGAAAGAATGCTCGATGAGGCCGGTTATAATCTTTACGCTCAGACTAATTTGGTTTCCGAGTGGGTCGGAGTGGAAGTAGCCAATATTTACAAATCGAGGGACTGAAAAACGTCCTTTTGACATTTGCGAAAATGACCAGATAAATTACATGAACTTGAACGTTTAAAGTTGGATTCGAATTTTAGTAAATAATAAAATATTTTGAAATGTAGGGTTCTCGGAAATGTTCAAAAATGGGAATTTTTAAGAAATAAAAATACGCGAGTTCTTTAGAACGTTATTAGGCTGAAATTAACTTGAACTAACCATTCTTAAAATTAAACTAAAGAAAATTAACTTAAATAACACTTTTATAATTAAATTGAAGGAAAAATTGAGTGATTTCGTCACATCTTGAAGGTGAGTCTAATGTTTTTTAATCACGAAATACCGAGGGGAGTCATTGTTATTAGATAACACGTCATTTTATACCGGTCGCTTAGAAGAACTATCCTCGACGGCACGAAAAAAGCAGAATTTTTTATTGGTTGAAAACAAAAAATATGTTGAAAGCTAATTCACTTAGTATTGACCAACTACACAAGCAACATTTCATTAAATTAGTCGTCGATGAAACAGCTAAAGACCGCCATTTCAGTGTTTCAGAGAAATTTAAAATCTTTGGTATTATTAATATAACTACCATATTCATTTTAGGCTTAAATAACTCTATAAGTAGGTACATAGATTTCAATTACAGCTTAAAGAACTTAATTTTCAAAATGTACATCTTCTTGTTTAAATGAATTTCAAATACTTATGTTGTTCCATTATTAAAAATCTTGCAATACCTACTCAATGGGATATTATTTATTTACACTTGTATGCAGAATATTTATTTCATGCACTTCAAAATATTTAAGATTCAAGTGTTTATTATTCTAATTCATAATTTTATTATTCAGCCGAACTCGCAGCAACATCAAACTCTGATTATTGAAGAATTTGAACCTGACGTTTTCCGGCAGTTAATCGAATACATTCACACTGGATGTGTTACATTACAACCCAGAACGCTTTTAGGTAAGTTGTGAATTTATTTGCTTCTACATTTTATTCATTTTTTTAGTATTTCTGCTGTTGCATATGGTATTTTGGCAACAATGATCTTTATAATTTGATGAAACGCTCTCTACTGCAAACACAAATTACTTCTCATTAATAGATAAATTTGACCATGACGTTTTGTTTTTTATGTAAATTAATCCTGATTTAAATTAAATGTTTACCATCTCTACTAAATCATGTTTATAATATACTTGTATATTAAATACACGAAGCATCTTTAAATTTACCTACCTGTAAATCCTTAAAGATAGAAACGTCTTTGAATATTTAAAAGAGTTGGGAAATATTTCGAGAAGTTATTTAATTGAAAATGATTAATAAACTGAAGGTTTATTATAAACATTTGTCGGTTTACATTGCCGAAACAAATGCTAAAGAAATTGGGGAAAAATCTGGGGTAAATTTGCTCTTGGCGGGGCTCGAACTGCGACCTATGGATATCTGTTCCATCGTCATAACCCCTAGACTACCAGAACTTGTGTATCTGGTGTCCTAGTTATTAATTTTAGTATTTAGATTCGATCCCAACTCAGTTTATCAACTCTACAACCCTTCAATGGTCACCTATGGGATATCGTCAAGGATACATCACTCCATGTGTGTTTCCGTTACTAGTTAACTTAACACCTGGATGAAACGAGAGTTTTTATTGCACGTGATGTGATGTACCCTCGACGATGCTACATAGGTGATCATTGAAGGGTCGTAGAGTTGGAAAGGATTCTAATAAACTGAGCTGGGATCGAATCTAAATACTCAAATTATTAACTGGAACACCAGATACACAAGCTGTGGTGGTTTAGGGGTTTTGACGATGAAACGGAGATCCAGAGGTCGCCACAAAATATTCAAAAAGGGTATTTATACTCGTTTTATAATTAATATTAGTGTTTCCTTTTTAATAATCTTTTTCCTAATAAGATATAATTCTGCAGACAACAAAATGTTGGTTACTGAAGAAATGTGTAAGAGGTCAGTTGTGTCCTTAGAATATTTATTAAACGTGTTTTAATTAACATTTTTACTAGTTAATTTTATTTAAAAATATTATTATTCAAAAATAGGTTTAATTAAGGACATTTTAATGGAAGTACGTCTCATATTTATAACAGATAAAAAGAAGCAGAAAAATGTGACAAATCAGACAGAAAAAATGCCCTTGCTTCCTCGTGATGACATGTCATTTGTCAACTGTATACTCGGTAAACACTGCTGATACACAAAAATTATATACAGCGCATGATTCGTTTTCGAACTTGTTGGAACAAACCAATAAACAACATCTGACATCATAATCATATGTATATTGTCAATTGTCATTATCCGTTATCTATTAATAACAAAGGCCAAATACGTCATTGACTCATTTGATAGAAAAGAAGAAATTTAAGATTTAACATAAAAGTTGAACCTGTCAATTATTAAGCATAAATATTAATGTTAATACTAATTATAAATTGAGTATAAATGTCCCCATTACATTGTGAAGGTTCAACTTAATCCTTAATCATAATACTAACGCAAATACCAATAATAAGGGTGTATAAATAGACCCTTTATCTTTATAAAATTACTATCTTTGGATGTTTTTCCATCGATTTCATAAATGTTTTCCAGAAAAAATTTAACGAATATTTAATTTGTTATTGACTTGAGGAAACATGACTTCATTTATTTGAATTTCACTAATCACATTAACGATTTAAAGAGAGATCAAAAAATTACGATATTATTTAACTCTATTTTTTTTTCTTAGTTGACGTTGACGTTTCTATTTTTAAGGATTTATATGCCGGTAATTTAAGATGTTTTGCGAATTAGGCTAATAGTACAATCAATGGAAAATATAACATTTATTATTGTTTGCATCAATGCAGGTTGCAGATATATTAACTGATAAAAACTTTAAAAAAATCTAAAGAACGCTAATTTAAATAAAGCGGCGTAATTTACCTCTATCGCTTGTAGTTATTATAAAGTATTAAGAAAAATAAAACTAATAGGAATAAAAAAACATGATTCGAAAAATTAATTAATTCGTTTCAACAGGTGTTATGAATGCCGCTGATTATTATGGATTGGATGAACTCCGTAGAGCTTGTGCAGGTTTTGTGCAATGTTGTATAAATGTTGATACAGTTTGCGCGCTTTTGGCGTCCGCTGAGCGATATATCCAGTATAAATGTACAAAATCATTGGTGCAAAAGGTTAGTTTATATATATATTTTTTAGATCGTTCATTGTAGATTGTTTGAACTAAAAAATTTTTTTAGGTATTAGAGTTTGTTGACGAACACGGAAATGAAGTATTAAATTTGGGATCATTTACACTTTTACCTCAGCATGTGGTGAGGCTTATTTTGGCTAGGGAAGAATTACAAGCAGATGAATTTACAAAATTCCAGGCTGCTCTTATGTGGGGTAAGTAATTTTTAAAAAATTATTTTTTGTATCAGCAAATTTTTAATAAATAATATCGATTCCAACTCTCTAGATAGGTTTACAATGTAAATTAGCATATGTAATCGAATATCAGAAACTCCAATCTATGTTCAGAAGTATCAAAAAGAGAAATAATTACTAATTTTGAATTTTAAATTCCCTTTATACAGGGTGTTCCTAAATGCCATGTGAATATTAATGGAGATTTTTTCTTGGACTATGTATGACTAAAATTTTATGTAAACATATGTTTTAAATTTTTTCTACCATAAATGATGTTAAAAATATAAATTACCACAATGCCTTTAACTCTTTTACGGATTATAGCACATTTGAGTGATGGATAATTTACTTGTTCTTAATAATTTTAATCTAATCAGTACTGCAAACAAACCTGCTAAGTTTAATTAAAATTGCCAAAAGAGGGATATTTTATAAAAATCGATTGTTTTAAAAAATTTAACATCCTGTCTCTAAAAAAAAAAACAAAAATTAAAGCACATATTTATAAGAAATTTTAGTCATAGGCCAAAGAATTACCTTCTTCAATATATGTATTCAATGTATGTATTCCAAAGAAAACACCAAATCTGGAAACGTCTAATATTTCTAGAAACCGAATTCTAATTTGAGATGTGTGGATTGAAGTCATGTCGATTCCTGTTTTATTTGCATTGTTGCCAGATTGACCATGTTTTTCCGACAATAGTGATGTTTTTTGGTTTTTTAAATGCATTACCCTGTAAATTGTTTTATTATTTTATTCTAATCTTTAATCTCAATTTAAAGATATATCAAACTTGAGATTTTTAAATTTAGTGTTGCATTTGAAACAACTACTAATATTATTGAAAAAAAAAAACGGACAATTTGGCAATCGTGCAAATATCAAAATTGGCAGAATGCTCAGAACTATTTTCGAGAAAATTAGGCGTCTCCAGACATTTTTCTTCTCTGAGTATTTATTTTTAAAATCGGCATATATGTTAAATTATTTTTTTGAACTATCTCCAAATAAAAACATGAAACAGTTAATGCCGATTTTTTGCATTTTAATCAATTCTGTTTTCAAAAAAGTATATAAATTCCGAAATATATTGTGGTTTAAGTTTTATTAATTTTAGCGGAAGCAATATGAGTTTATTTCGCCGAAAATCTTCATTGATAAATTAGGGATGGGTACCAAGTTAAATTTTTGAAAATCAATATGGAAAGAAAATAAAATACAAAAAGAAACATAAGAAATATAATTTAAAGAAAAATGTTGGCTTAGTTGGCATCCACTGGTTTATATTACTTATATTTCAAGTAAATTGTTTTTCAACAATACAATAATTGCTGTTTGTATAGTATGAATGGAAATCTGGGATACATTTTTATTAAAATATAAAATTACATTTCATGTCATAAAAGGAGAGCGCTAATAATATTTTATAGAATTATTGCTTGTTTTTCTAGGCCTAAACTTAAGCCAACATAGGTTCTTAACGTTTTAAAAAGAACCAATAAAAGATTATAATTTATTATATTGATTGAATTTTAATAATTATCATTAAATATAAATTGTTTTTCATTAATTATTTTCTAATATATGAGAAATCGGTTTCTGAGAAATTGGTTTAAATTAATACCTTCTTCAGTTCCCACATGTATCAATGTGCTGCATCCCGTCGTACAAAAAGTAGAACTTTCTAAATTGGGCGATATGGTACATACAATATCTATTCTATAAGACATTTTTCGAGTCATTGTCAGAGATGTAGACAGGAAAGGGAAATCCTAAGTTGAGCTTTTAAATTAATTTTTTCTAGGATCACTATCCAAAGTAGGCTTTTGCGCTTCGGAATACAACCGCAAAGTTGACGTTTTCCGCTAACTAACATTAAGTGATAGTGGTAAATCCCCACTCGAGCATTCATTGTTGGCTTCAAATTAACAGTGCTGTCTCCCAGAGTTGGGTCGGATACATGAAAAAAGTATCCGAGTACCGGATACGGATACTTACAATGTATCCGGATACTTTCACCCAAAAAGTACTCGGATACAAGTATCCGGATACTTTTTATCGGATACTTTAAAGGATACTTTCACGGATACTTTTAAAGTGAGTTAAAATAATGGTTTCATACCAATAGTTATAATTATGCAATAAGATTGATTACGAGTAACAATAAACAATACTAGACATAAATAAATTATCGAAAATGGAAAGCGTAGCTATAATAGAAACAGGAAAAAACTACTCAATAAATTCTTTATTTTTATTCTGTGATTATAAAACATAAAGGTGCGTGTGAATAAAACGAGTCGCGCCTGAACCACGCCAAAAACCAGCCAGTGTCGTGTCCATATAAATCTACGAAATAAGCTCGTTGTTGGCGCGACTTGCCATGTTTACACAACCTTTCGATATTCTCGTCAGTGTCAGATGTATTCGACAATCCATTTTAAGAACTAATAATGTAATTAGACATTTTACTACTTACTTACCTTTGTGTATAGTTAGGTATTAAAACTGATACAGAAAGTTTAGTTATGTTGCACTATATAAAAACACAGGAACAACCGTTTCTTGTCTTTGCCAACTGAAACATTACTGGGCTAATGGAGCCTCCACAAGTTCGTGACGCTAACACCGGACAAGGGTTTGCAGGATTTTTCCTGTAAAAACGTGCCGCAAGTTGCAGAATTCCAACTGTCTGTATACTGGATGAATCGTCAAATTTATCCTTGGCGATGAGAATTTTTTTTGCGTTGTTTTAAATTTTACAGGGTGCACAAAACAAAACTACAAATCATAATAAAATAATTATTTTACTATTTTTTATTTAAGTAGGTACCTATTGCAATTGTATCTTAAATATTGTAATATTGAAATTTCTAATTATACAGGGTAGCTCAAAGTATTTCGATTATATATTTTAATAGAGATAATATGTATTGGATCAGTTACGATTGTGGTAAATAATTTAAAAGTATCCGAATGCCGAAAAAAGTATCCGGTATCCGGATCTTACAAATTTGGTCACGGATGCGGATACCGGATACAAAATTTGAAAAGTATCCGGATACAGCTTTCGGATACACATAAAGTATCCGGATACTGTATCCGAAAACAGAAGTATCCGGATACTACCCAACTCTGCTGTCCTCATAGTGGAGCAGGGAGACAGTAACAAAACCTACACACAATATGAGGGTAATAACCATAGCAATGCCAATGACACCTAAGAAAAAAGCAAGTACAAGAATTATATCCTACTGGTGTACTACAATATAATTAACAAACCAAACAGTGGCGTCTCGTGGGCACTAGTGGCCGTGGGGGACACACTGGAAAGGAATCCCGGGATTCGTTTTTCCCTTAGGAAAACAAGTTCTCTGTTTACGTTTGGAAATAAACTACACACAGTTTTAACGTCCTCATTTGGAAAACAACCTCGGTAGTCTTTAAATTTTTCACTATCAAATAAACTTGCAATTGTTAGGTGGGTAGTAAAACTAAAACGTTCATTTACCTGCACTACTATTGTATCATAAATTTCCTTACATATCCTTAAATTAGGAATGGTGTCCTCCTTTTCAACAAACCATCTCTTCTTGCTTGTACTTGGACCTGATTGGGTGTTGTCGTTTAAGTTTAGTTCTTGTGGGTCTTGTTGTGATTGCCATTCTTCATGAATTAGCGCGTCTATATTATTTCTAATATTTTGAATAGCTGCTGCAAAATTTGATATGTTTACCTTAACCTTGAGAGCATCGAGCTGTCTACTCTGCAGTTGATCTAAAAGTATATCGCAATTTGGCATTATTTTGCTAAAGAAAAATAACCAGAAACTAAAAACCCTTTAGTCTGATTAATAGTTTTTTTTATCGAATTCTGTGTTCATAATTTCTTCGAGACATTTAATCAAATCTTTTTTATAAACATAAATAGTATTGACACACTTCGATGTAAAATTCCATCGTGTAGGAGCATTTTAAAGCATACGACTCTGAAGAAAAGGTGTTTGGCAATTTAAAATCTCCCAGCGAAAAATTTCTCTTCTATATTTTCAAATTAGAAAAAATATTTATATCTCTATTTGATAACTAAGCCTGGAATTTCCAATGCATACCTTTTTGAGATGACCAAAATGGAATTTGATCATCCTTGCCAACAATTTGCGAAAATGTACACCATTAAATTAGTTATAAGACTCAGAATTTTTTATACTCTTAAATATGCAAACAAAGATTTAAAATCCTCGAAAAAGTCAGACAAAACCAAAAGAAAAATTAAAATTTTGTCCCATTTATAAATATTGATTTTTTTTCTTCATATTTTTGACTGCTTTATAAAAAAAAAGTTATTTTTCTTTGTAGTTTTATTTCTTAACTATTCCAACGGTCCAAATAACGTTTTTTAGTAATCACAATAAATAAATTATTATCATGGTTCAACAAACGCGCACCTTAAGCCGAAACCGGCATAGCCTTTGTGAGGGAGCCGGTAAAGATGCCGCTGCATACATTCGTTTCTGGTCTAGGTAATCTGTGCCATGGGTACAGCACGTCACGATGAGGACAGCGCCCCGCTTGTGACGTATAATCCATCGCATGTGTTCATCTCTTGCTAAGCGATATTGTCGTTGTCCTTGTTTTTCGCATTATAATGAGAGAGAAAACAACAGAGGCACACATTTACTGTGCCCTCTGCCCATCTTCCATTTAATTTCGGAATTCTTGGAACGTCGCTCAACATCCGGTCGTCCAGTGTCGTGCCAACGCGGTTTGCGCTGAATATTAGATAAAATAATAATAGGCATTGAGGAAAATATAAAATATGTAAGTTATTTTTTTGGTTTTGTTTATTATACTACGGCACGTGCCCAAGTGTCCTTACGGGCAAACCGCTACTGAAACCAAAACAAAACCAACTTAAATATTTTCGAAAAGACCTATGAAAAACATCTCATTTAGGGTTAAATGTGTCCAGAAAGACCATGCTTAATACCAACATTGGTACGAAACGTTGCCACATTGAATTTATTATATAACATTATTCGTTTCTAAGCATTTAAAAGATTTAAATTTTTTGTCAGAGACCGCCCAAATTTTCCTATCAAAAGCATACCCTCATTTGTATTTATGTTGCCTTGCTATTACGAGTAATTCTGCCTTCAAAGATTTAACAGGACTGATAATATTTTTAGATTGAAGCCATTTTGGAATGTCTTCTTTTTTCCATTTTGTAGGTAGTGACTTCTTTAATCGACTGTGCTGCATTATCCAAAATAACGTAGTTAACTAAAATTTTTGTTATAATGTTCTGAAACCAGTTTTTAAACATAGGGCCATTCATTTCATAATGGTAGTCTTTTGTTTTCTTTGAGTCGAACATTAATAAATCATCTTGCAAATATTCGTCGGTGCTTCCAATGTGGGTTATTATTAAACGATTTCCTTTTCCTGTTGGATTTTTTAATCCACAAGAGAACCCTTCCATAAAGGCTTGCTTTTTAGTTTTAATAGAGGTATCTTGCCAAAAATTTGTTAATGTATGTCCAGCATTGTCCATTACTCATGTTTCATCTAAATACCTGTTTATTAGTGTTTATGCTGATTCATTGCATCCGCTATTTTCCATATGATAAATTTGGAAGAGTGGGGCTATTTTCTATTTCTGAGTGTAATTTTTTGAGTGTAGGAATTTTATGTTGTAAGAAAAAAGAATGTAGCATTTACCTTAATATATTCTTTACCTAAGTTTCTATAAAGGTCTTTTTTTTTCAGTGGGCTTTGTCGGATGTTAGACTTCTTCAATAACTGTATCTTCTTTAATAATGTTATACACTATCCGATTAGATACTACAATATAGATTTCACATTTAGGGACTATTTTAGCCATAAAAAGTGAAACAGTCTTTTCGAAGATTATTAAAGGGGATTTCAAAAACTTGGTTTTAAAAGCTTATTGTATGGTATCCTAACGATTCGTAAATTAAAATCGCGTGAAAAGATTTTTTGTACCAAGTTCCAAATTCTCGAAAATATGGATTTGTTACAAACACTTTTGTGCCGTCGCTTAATTAAGAAAATTCTCTGAAGCATGGTAAAATGCTTTTACAAAATGTTGCATGTAGCATGACGATACAATGTGATGATCCTTTAAATGTACCCGTAATTAGTAACCTGAGAAAAGCTAAAAGAATTTCCTTTGTGTGTCTTAACGAAGTTCTCAGAAACCGATCGTCTACAACTTTTAATTTTTATATTTAATTAGGAAAGAAATACTGTGACAATAATCCCAACACAAGTATCAAAGAAGTGCTAGGAAATTTCCTGGAATACATCCAGTTTCATAAAATCCCTACAAACGTTTTAATGAGAGAGATATATCCCTTAGGTTTACTGCCTCAGAACCTCTTTGTAAATGCTTTAGCGTACCAGGTGCAGTAAATTTTGATAGAAATTTAGATAAAATACCCAGAATAGTTCATAATATTCAGCGAGGGTTGAATAATGATTTATTTATACAGGGTGTCCTCTAAATATCCCGACAAAGCTTTAAGAGTGGTATAAGATATCAAAATAAACATTTTTTGATCATTAAACATGTGTCCGATAACACTTCGGCAGTTGAAGTTTTAAGAAAAGTTAATTTTTATACAATTTATTAAAAACGTTTTAACTGATTTTAATGATTTTTTAAAGGTTTTTGATATTTTAATGAGGTACCTTTTGGACCTTTTAGCGTGTATCCAAAATGGCATGCCCTCGGGGCAAATATATTATCAGAAACAAAGCATTTTTGGACATACGTTTATAAAGCAAAAAATGATATCCCATACCACCCCTAAACTTTTGTCGATATATTTACGGAAAATGAAGTAAAAAAGTAGTTGTATATTCAAAAGTTAAATTTAAGATGGTTTCATCAAATTTATAACATCACTTTATAAAGTAAACCTTTGTTGTCGAATTGAAGCCCTAAGGACCCAAAGAAGGGTTTTGCATTTTTTACTCAAAATATCAGTTTCCGAAATAGACCAATTTTGCTATATTTAATGGACATAAGAATATCTGTTATCTTTTTCACTTTCCTGGTTTTTTTATAAGAGGGTGAAAAAACAACTCCTGATAATCTATCAAACATATTTTTTATTTATACACAATAAAAATTTTGGTCTAGGGAAATAATTGTGTCCCCAATTTTAATCATGATCTTTTAACTTTTACCTACAAAGGGCCGGAATATATAGGTCACTATGGCGCCGACAGTCGGGCCAGTCATTTTGCCATCAATAAAAGTAACAGGGCTTTTAACATCCCAGAGTTACTTGCCATCATACAGTTAAAGGGCACTGAATGGCTACTACTATTTTTTAAATCCAAGAAAATAAAGCAATATTTAAAAAATTAATTCTAACCGTGTCATTTTTTAGTAAAACCTGAATAAAAAGGTTGGTTGAGTAATTAGTAAATGTTAATTTTAAAATCTGATTGTCTTACTACAAAACAGGAACTATTTTAATACTTACTTCCTATTTTCTTGAGATTCCATCAAAACATTCACTTTTAAGAAACAAAATGATAAAACTTAAAACTCCTTTTGCAAATACCAACAAAAAATAATTTCTTTTATAGTGTATTGACCGTACTTATGATTATCCAGCCAGTTACAAAAAATTATTTCGAAAAGGTTATAAACGGTCGAACAATACACTTTTATCGATTAATTCCCACTATTTTTGTTTTTTTTTTTAGCCAATACCATTTGCATTTTGCAGATATAATTTAAAATTGTATGAACCCTTAAAAATCACAAACACATAAGATAGGAAACTGTGACTGTCCCCCAACGCAAGGCCAATAAACGATTGATAACCCACAAACCATGAAAATATAATAGTCTGAACATTTAGCCAATATGGTAATCTCCCCATAAATTGCGGCCATTAGTTTCCAGACATTTGATTGTTTGTTGTGTATTCTTAAAAAATTACTTTGCAGCAACTCCTCAAAACTTCAATAAGTATTGGAAGAAGGAATGGAACAAATTCAATTTTTGGTCACAAAAGTAATAATTGAGATTTTGAGTAAAAAAATAAGATCAAAAAATTTAAAAAAAAAACGTTTCTTCGTGTTTTCAAACAATGTAGGAAGAATTCATCTTAAATTTCGATTATGTTACTGTAAGTGTTTTGTTTACTTTATTTTTTTACTTCTGTATGGACAAATTACCTTTGTTGGTCTATTGCGTGTTTTTTAATACATTATGATAATTAATATAGTAATTTCATAAACTTTATACCCAATACGAAATAGCCATACATCAAAAAACCCAGTTGACAAGTATACGTCTAAAAGACATTCTATTTTGTACCTAACTTTATTTTAAAGCTAAGGCAAAACAGAAATTTTTTTTAGGCATTTACTTATATTAAAATATGAACTATTCTGTTAAATAGGCAGCAGGATACTAAGTAGTCGCAAGTACCAGAAGAGTTGCATATAATTTTTTGTTGACTGATACTTGAAATAAACTCAAGAAACTGTAATAATTCATATATTAATAAAAAATCATTCATTCTATTCAATATATTCTATACAGATTTGTTTATGAAATAAATGTCAAACTATTGATACCAAACAATATTATTTTTAAACGAAAATTTTGTCCTGTGGTAAAAGGTGTTTTATTCAAGTTAATCTTTAATCCCTTGAGTAGGAAAATATTTTAATAAGTTTGCTATGCATGTTCAAAGAAATTATTATTTTTTTTTATTTATTTATTTAATCAATCACCAGAGCGTATGGATCTTGCGATAAAAATTTCCAAATCCTTATTCAATATTTTATTTGAAAACTTATGCAATAAAGTTCTATAATTAAAAAAATATTATTACGTAAAAAATACATTTAAAATGATTTTTACACGTCATTGGTTGTTGTTGAGTCCTAAGCGCAGTGATCTCAAAAAAAAAACCTGAAGATTATCCATTTGCTCAAACATGGTTAATTGTGAATTAGAAATGAAACACAAAATCATTAACATAATTAATTAATTAAAAATAGATTTAATTAAGGACATTTTAACAAATTTATGTCACAAATTTATATCATAAAAAGCAGAAATCTGATAAAAAAGAGGCCTTTGCTTCCTCGTGGTGACATGTCATTTGTCATTTTGTCAACTATATACTTGGCAAACACAGCTGATACACAAAAATTGTATAAGGGAGAGTTGGGGAACTGTGCGCACTTAAACTAAAATCGGTATAGCACTGATAGCATTGTAGATAATTTAAATGTAAATACCGTAATGGGGGTGCTATTTACTCTACTCTCAGCACGTAAATCAATTTTAGGAAAAAATAAAATATTTAAAGTACAACACTGCTGAAAATACAAAAGTGCTCTTGCGCACCATTCCCCGCCGTTGCGTGTAATGGTGTACAAGTGTTGGGGAGTCGTGCACATTAAAAGTATTAAGTATAAGATAAAACCAACACTAACTTTAAAAACATTTATTGAAGTTGTGGAACATAAACATTATACTAACTCCTAATTTGAGCACAGGTCACATCTATAATTTTTCGGGGTATTAGATCCAGTACATTCGGCATGGTTCCAAGTTGAGCAAAGGACACATCTGTACCATAATTCTCGTTGTTTGCCAAATTCACCGCAAATACCACAAACTTCGGTTAGTTTCCCTGGCTGATTGAAAGGTGGCGATACGAAGCTTAGCCCAACATCATCTTCAATATCATCCAGCTCATCGTCATCACAAATATCCGACACATCATCTTCAGATGAATCAGATGATTCAGACGTTGGCGGTGTCTTTTGTTTGCTTTTGAATTTCTTTGAAGACGACTTAATTGATAATTCGCCTTCCAATCATTTTCGAATAACTCCTTTACTATTCTTATCTTTCAGTTTTTCTTTGGTTTTGATTGCTTCTTCTCGTTGTCTTTTTTTCTGTTCAATTTCTTCTAGTTTTGTTTTGATGGGAATGCTAGTAAGAATTTTCGATTTGCTTTTCGTTTCCTGGTTAACTTTCGTTTTTCGTATTGGAGCCATAGCAAAAAGAATTATCATAAGACGTAGATAGCTGAGGGCTCGGATCTCTCTGATGTTGTAAATCAGGGTAATTATCTAGAAGAGTTGCTGCACCATCTTGGCTGGATGAAGTTTCAAATTCAGTTGTTGCTTCTACTGTAAGTTTTTCTACATGGTGGCTAGGTTCAAAATCAGTATCGGTAAATTTGTCGGGATCCAGTTTCAGACGTCCGAAACCCTGAAACTGCTTTTTCCATTGTAGCCACTTTCATGAAGGCTTTGTTTAAAAGTTCGGCTACGTCCTGTTCAGTTATTTTTTGATGACCGGTACTTGACAAATAAAGATCATATTCCCTAAATAGTGCATTTTTCAGAAGGCTAAAAAATTTCAGATCCAGGGGCTGAAGGTGATCAGATGTGTCTGGAGGGAGCGAGATCATGTGGATGTTATTTTCTTTGCAGAAATTATAAACCGCAATTGAAATGTGGCTGGAATGGTTATCCAGGACCAGAAGGACAGGATCTGAAACGTACTCTCTTAACTCAGATTCTATTTCCTCTGAAAACACAGGCTTGCAACCCCATTAAGGAGGTTTCGGCTCATTTTCTGACAGTTTAGGAATATTGAAGGCCCTTCCTGCATCCCTTATTTGTCTGCCATCATTTCTTATCGCAAATAATGCGTTTGGAAATATTTTTCCTTATATGAAAGAATTGTGGTTTTCCTTGTATAATTTCTTAGCATCTGAAAAAAAAATATATTTAAAATTAGATTACGTTTAGGGTAATGGTGCGCATCAGCGCGCATCATTACCCCTTTAGTCATTAAATGACAATCTGTAATACAGTTAGCAAACTACATGACCTAACAATGTGAAACAAGTACCAATAAATGCAAAAGATCATACTTTTCCATAAAATAAAAATAAAAGTGGACTCACCGTCTTATTTTCCGATGTAAAAAAATTACAGAAACTGGCTGAATAAACAGGGCTCGTTCAGTGCAAACGTAAACAACTGATGTGAGAAGTGGCGTCAGTGATGTACAGTAGAAAGGAGAGAGCGCAGCACTAGTCGGTGGCGCTTAAAAGCCCGCGAAATATGAAATAGTTTGATGCGCATGATTACCCGACGCGCACGATTCCCCCACTCTCCCTTACAGTGCATGATTTGTACCGAAATATTATACTTTTCGAGCTTGTTGGAACAAACCTATACACAACATATGACAACATAATCATATGTGTATTGTCAATTGTCATTATCCGTTGTCTATTAAAAACAATAGAGGACTTCTATACAAGGGAAGTGCAACCAACTTGACAAATTTTTTTGACACTAATGACATAAGAAATCGGGTCACATAAAGAGGCCGTTTTTTT